CGACTTTATCTTCCTCTCCTGACACAGCCACAGCATTTCACAGCTAAATGCTTAGGAGGGCAGGAGCTTTCAGGCTCTGTGCGTTAGCTGTTGATGTCCTCTCAGGTCAGGGTGTGGGACCTCACTCAAGTGGGATACCCACAGGCGGAGGGAGGCAGCAGCTCCTGCAGAGCACTGGGAGAAGGAAGGGAAAGGCCCTCCTGTGAGCCCACCAAGTCTACATGGTGGTATGGTACTTCCACTTGGTATTCACCCGTTTCCTCCTTTATCCTGGTGTTATACCAGCCTGCACTTGGGATCGTGAGGGGCTGGATGTTAATCTCCTTGGGGCTGCCTAATTAATACTGCCCGTAGCTTGACTGAAGAGGGTAACACAGAGATTCGCTGTGCGTTCTTCCCTGCTGAGGTTTTAACCACTTCACACCTTGGTATGGGTGACGAAAGCCTAGTCAATCAGCTACAAAAGATGTTTCTCCTATGCTGTCAGATCCCTTAGGGCCTGGCCGTGGTTTCATAGTGGCCATCAGGTTGCCCGTTGAGGCCAAGAGATGATTTTACCCATGACCAGCTGCTCTTTGTTTCTCCTCTGTGCTCAGTGATCGCAGACACCCTCTCGGCTTCCATGGTGCCCCAGGTCCTCACCCGCGCCGAAGGGGACGCAGTGGAGCTCACCTGCGAGGTGTTGAAGTCCACTTCCCAGCACACACATCTCTCTGTTGGCTGGTATCATCTTCAGGGAGCAGGAGAGAGCAGTGCCGAGGAGGTCCTCACCCTCTCCAAGGACTTTGTCCTGAGGCCAGGGCCCTCTTATGCTCAGAGGTTTCTGGCGGGGGATGTGCAGCTGAACAAGATTGGGAACACGACATACAAGCTCTCCATCAGGGGAGCGGAGCCGTCCGACCAGGGGCAGCTGTACTGTGAGGCGGCCGAATGGATTGAGGATCCTGATGAGATGTGGAAGGACATCTCCCGCAAGCAAACAGGGAGGACGTCGCTGGCAGTCACGAGCCAGGGTAAGGCCCTTGCAAACTCACGCATTGGCTTCAACTCCTTTGCGTGCTGAAGGCCCTATAACAGCAGCTTTCGGTGGCCTTTGCCTACCCGGGGGCCCTGCGGGTGGCTCTGGCTGCCTCTGCTGGGCACCGAGGGGGCGGATGGAGTTTAGGTCTATGGCAGCCTCCAGTTCAGGAGCTGTTGGTGCTTCTTGTTTTGGAGGTTCACATGGCTGCGTCTTCGATGCTGGCAGCGATTGTGCAACCTGGTGGGACCAAGTGGTGTTAGCAGAGAGAGCAGCGTGTGCCTGCAGTAGCCTGGCTCCTTGGCAGCGTTAAGTTCCGTTGTGCAGCAACCTGCATTGTTAAACTGTCTTGAGGATCTCTCAGCCTCCAAACCAGAAGTACCTAAGTCAGCTGCCCATCACGGTGCCTCGACCACGGGCACTGAGGGACATGGGGATACGCCGCATGTGCTGCACAGCTTTGGTGTCAGCTGGAGGTGGCTTGTCTGTCTGTGCTGTCACGAGTCTGCTGGCCTCCAGAGCAACTGGTGTTGCTGGGTTTTAGGCCATCCCTGTGTCTCCTCCTAGTAGTTCATATGTGGTGGTAATGGGACTGTGGATCACACTGCACATTTGCTGCCACTCCTCTGAGCACCCTGCCTGCCATCCGTCCTGCTGCAAGCCCATTCCTGACTGTGGTCCCTCACCCTGCTCTTCCTCTAGCTGCCTGTGGGTAGCTGTGCCCAGAGAAAGGGAAAATATCTCTTTCCCACCAGTAAGCTTCACCTCAAAGGAGGCAAGGCAAGGCTGTGTCTAGTTGACGCCCGTTAGCATAGGCAGTAGTATGCAAGAAAATGGGAGCAAGTCTCTCACAGAAGAGATGCTTGGGGAGGTGATGTACCATGTCCCCATGCCTTGGGGCGGATGGAGGAGGCTGCAGAGCCTGGGTGGTGAAGGGAACCGGTGTCTCACGGGAGGATGGTGAGTCAGAGCAGGAAAACAAAGAAACAGATGGGTAAGGACCAAGCACCCTGTTTCTTTTGTTTAGAAATAGAGAAGCCTTGTGAGAGTTTCATATTTGCACTGTGGTAGCCCTTAAAGATAGAAGGGAGGTGATGGTGGTAAGAGGACAATATGGCGGTTGTATTAGAGCTGCTGGTATTGCCAGTGGGGAGCAGTGGCAGGCGTACGAGCCCTCCGGCAGATCCCATCTGTGGGGCTGAGATCTCCCTCCAGCACCCCGTGGGAGAGCCAACGCTCCAGGGCTGAGCCCCCCAACGCACTGGGAGCCAGCGACCACTCTGACTGTGGTCGACTGCTCCAGCGGTTTCTATAAACTCTCCAGCAAATATTTGGGAATGCCAAACATATCTGCAGCGGCTGCGATTCCTGTTCGCAAACTGTTTATGAACCAGTGTTTAAATTCAGAGTACTCTGCTTTCAATAAATTATTCGAGCCCTTCCAGTGGCAGTCTGAGAGCTGCTCTGTTTTACCTCCAAACCACAACACGTGGTCTTGCCCTCATTGTTAGACACAGAGGCCACCACAGTGACCCAAGGACATGGAGCAACGCGAGCCAGGCTGCCTGCCCAGGGAGTCAGGGCTTAGCCCTATCTCCTCTTTTTCGGCTATGCCGCTGCTGTTTGGGGTCACGGAGCAGAGTTTTGGGGTACCCTGTAGGCCTCTGCCTGCAGCTGCTCTCCAGCTGGGCTGAAGCTGGGAACCAGGGGCGTTAGCAGCAGAGGCTTTGAATGCCTCACGAGGAAGGTGAATGGTATCATAGGACCCAGAGACAGGGTCCTTATCTCAGGTGTGACTGACTGCCCAAGAGGGTCTGCCAAGGAGAAGACTTTGTGCTCTCCCTCTTTGCTTGGCACCTGCTACTGGTCAGTATGGGAGGCAGGACAGGGGCTAGGAGATGACCTCCACCTCCTCTTACTTCTCTCCAACCTCCCTATGCTGTGACAAGTCCTGACACTTCTGCTTTCTGTAGGAACTAACCCAAAACCTCTCCAACTTGGAGAGCGTCTCTTGCCCACATCCTGCGTCAGCCAGTGAGGGCTGAAGCATGCAAGATGAGCAGCGTCACATTCAGACAAGCAACTCGAATGCCAGCCCTCCACACGCCTCTTCCACCGCAGACAGCAGAATTAAAAACACCACTGAGTGGCAAAAGCCCTTCGTGGTTTAAGGGATATTTGTTAATGTGAAGCAGAACAGCTCCAGGAGGCAAGATGGGGTCCTCCAAAAACTCCAAGCCCTTTGCAAAAGCTGATGCCCCTGGGTTAGGGCAGCCCTCAGCTGGGATGCCTGAGCTGGGCAGGGGGTGGCTGTGGCCCGAGGCTGTCCTGGTAGTGCTCTGCTTTGAGGGGGTTAGCTGCTCTGAAGGGGAGAGCTCAGCTCCTCGGGGCTCGGGTGCTTCCTCCACCTGTGACCTGGTTAGTGCCTGGGGCTGGCAACTATCTCCCATGGGCAAATTTTCCATCCTGATCACTTTTCTAAGGAAAGAAAATGTTTTAACAGAGAATTCCCTCCCATTTCCCTCAGCCATTAGTGCTGCCAGGTGGGAGGGAAGCATGGGCAGGGCCACCCAGCACCCTCTTTGCTTTTGATTGCCCACAGGCAGAGACTTCTCCGTGGACATCGCTGCTGCTGAAAGCTCCCTTTCTGAAGGTGACACCTTGCAGCTAAATTGCATGGTGGAAGCCCAGAAGAGCAGCAGCAGGCACTTTCAAGTGCTTTGGCTCCTGAACGGCATGGAAGTGGCCAGGCTTGACCCCCACGGGGTATTGGTTTGGGAGGAAGAATATGAGGAGAGAGCCAAGCTGGGGCAGCTCCGAGCATTCAAGCAAAGCAACGTGGTTTATGTCCTCACCATTTACGAGGTGGGGCTGAAGGACAATGGTACATACCACTGTGCTGTTTCAGAGGTGAAGACTCCTGGAGACTTTCACAGCATCCAAACCAATCTATCATCAGGCATCCAAGTCAAAGTGAAGCCAATAGGTTAGTAAATACTAACGGCTGCTCTTCTGGGTAAAACCTGCAGTGATCGCTGACTGAGGAACGCTTCCAAGTCTGGCCTCATCTTGGTGGGGGCAACATACCTGCTGTTTGCAGCAAGAGCGCAAATGTGCCATAGATTTTGGTAGATAATAATGGAGAAAGCACTTGCTCTGGCAAACATTAGGATGACAGACGCAGCAGCTGTCGATGAAGTGTAAACCTTTAGCTCAATATCTTTGCAATAAGTTTTGGGGCAAATAGGTAGAGTTCTGGGGAGGTTGGGTCTTCCTGTGTCTTTGGTACAGAAAACTGTAAGCAATGCCAGTTGCTACTCCTGAGGATCACAGGATGACCCAGCAGATCAGGTACTTCTGGATGAGGTGGGAGGGGCTCATTGCCATTTCCATCAGGGTGCACTCTCTGCTTTGGAGGAATGACTTGTGAAAAACCACTCTAAGGCAGATGTGTGGGAGACTCTTGGTTTCCTTGTCGTAGCTAGATGATGACTATTCTGATGTAGCAGGAGCTGCCTGTTGGGACTCTATTTCTTAAGTATTTCTTTGTGTATCCATGTCCCAGGAAAGATATTAAAAAAAAAAATAACCTTACAAAGCTCTCTCCAAAGTTATAAGAAAAGGCTGACTGAACGTTTCAGGCAATTCCTTTCCTTTTCCAATGTCAAGATTTACTTAGTCTCTCTGTTTAATGCCACAGTATCTCTGTCTTTCTCTGAGGACCACAACAACGTCTCCTCCCACACAGTAACTGTTGTTTGCAGAGAGCCACATGCACCTGTCTGTGTCCACCCGCACACCGCGAGTCATGGCAGGAGATGCCTTGATCCTCCTTTGCAAGGTGGAAGGAGCGACCAGCCCTGTGTCTGTGCAGTGGTGGCACCTGCCACCGCAGCACCCGGGTCCCCGGGTGCTGGTGGCCACCATGGAGCGGGATGGCACCCTGAGCCTGGGCAGTGCCTACCAGGATGGCGGGACTCGGGGGAGCCTCCAGCTGGAGAAAGCGAGCTCTGGCACTTTCACCCTGGTGATCCCCAGCACGCTGGACGAGGGCGACGGTGGGCGGTACGGGTGCAAAGCGACTGAGTGGTCCCGAGGCCAGAGCTGGACAGAGGAGGGGGAGACGGCAGTGACAGTCAGCTCTATGGGTGAGTTGGGCAACCCCTGTTTCTGGGCTTTCAAGCTGGACACGCTGGAGGCAGGCTGGAGAAGCAGATGGACATGTGGGAAGGACAGAGGTCTGTTGCGCCTTGAGGTCTGCTGCTGCTGCAGAGTGAAGTGGGGCTGATCGCTTAACCCTGAACTGCCTCAGTTTCCCCATTTCTAGTAGGGTGCTTGAGTCCTCCACAAGATGTTTTGGGAGAGACAACTGGGACACAACTGCTAAAATGCCTGGAGACTTTCTGAAAGGCAATGGCTTACTCAGCAGGACTGTCTCCTGAGCTTGAAATACAAAATATCTGTTCTAGCAGCGCAATTACTACAGTAATTAAACTCAACAAAGGCACTTGCCGAGTTGTATGGTGGCCTTTGTCAG